TCGAGCACGCGGCCGCAGGCCGTGTTGATCTCGGGCTTGAGCCATTTCTTCGGCAGCGTGAGCTGCGTCTTCAGCGGCTTGGCGCCGTCCTTGTCGCAGTAGGCGACCTTGATGGTCGCCATGCGCCTTGCCGGCCTCAGGGTTTTGGCTCAAGATGCAGTAACAAGGCTCAAGTTGCAGCATCAAAACCGGTCCCGGCGTGTGCCTGCAGCCCCTCTCGGGGACGCTCAGCGTCGGGCCGCCGGTCCTCTCCCCCGAAGCAAAACTCGAACGATTCAAAGAAGGTAAATAGCACTCGGGGACGCTCAGCGTCGAGCCGCCGGACCTCTCCCAAAAAATGATTCTTGAGAGCTCCAACATGGATGCAAGATGCACAGTTTTAAACATAGGGAGATGAGGCTGCCCCTGGGTGCGTTGCTCGTCGTCCTCCCGGCCGCGGCGGCCTCCGTCGTCTCCGTCTCGAGCGCCGACGAGCTCCGCGCCGCCTTCGCCGACGCGAGCGCGACGGAGGTCCGCCTCGCCGCGGACATCTTCCTCGGCGCCGACGAGTCCTTCACTTCGTCTTACACGCGCACCCTCGACGGCGATGGCTTCGGAATTTACCAAGACGAGGGCGCCGCGCCGATCCTCGAGGTCGAAGCGCCCCTCGCGCTCGTAGACGCGACGCTCGCGAAGACCTTCGCGCCGACGGCGGAGCCGACGTACGGGCCGACCGCCGCGCGCTACGCGCCGACCGCGGCGCCCAGCGACTTCGTCGGCGTCTCGCGGCCGCCGTCGGCCGCGCCGTCGACGCGCGCGCCGACGAGCCGCACGCACGGCGGCTGCGTCGTCGTCCGCGCGGGCGCGTCGCTCCGCGCGGACAACGCGACGTTCGTGCGCTGCGCGACGGACGACGGCGACGGCGGCGCCGTCGCCGTCTACGACGCCAACGCGACGCTCGCGAACTGCAGCTTCGTGGCCTGCCGCGCCGCGGGCGAGGGCGGCGCGATCTTCGCCGAGCGCGCGCGGCTGGAGGTGACGGGGTCGACGTTCGCGGACGGCGACGCCGCGGGCGGCGGCGCGATCTACGCGCGGGCGTCGAGCACGACCGTCACCGATTCGACGTTCGCCTCGTCGTCGTCGTCGGCGAGCGGCGGCTGCCTCGGCGTCGAGGGGGGAAGCCTCGCGCTCGCGCGATCCGCCTTTTCCGGCTGCGTCGCCGGCCGCGACGGCGGCGGCCTCTACGCTTCGACGGGGACATCCTTGACCATCACCAACGCCTCCTTCGCCGACTGCCAGGCGGGCGCCGACGGCGCCGACGCCGAGGGCGGCGCGATCTACGCGCTCTCCGAGTCGCTCGCCGTCGACGGCTCGACGTTCGAACGCAACGTTGCACGCAAGGGCATGGCGCTCACGCACGAGTGCTCCGGCGGGCGCCTGGCCATGGCGCACACGACCTTCGCGCACAACGTCTACTCGGACGGGCGGAGCGTCGTGCGCCTCGCGTCGCTCGCGGAGGCGTCGCTCGACGTGATCGACGCCTACGGCAACGACAACAAGGGCGACGGCACCTTCGTCTTCTCCCAGCTCACGAATTTAAACGTGCGCAACTCGACGTTCCACGACAACTTCGACCGCGTCTTCCGCGCGTTCCAGTTCTACACGGGCACGTTCCTCATCGCCGACTGCGTCTTCGCGAACAATTTGGACGAGAAGGAGTCCGACGACTCCGGCGGCGTGGCCATGTTCGTCAAGGAGTCGCCGACGTCACAGATCCGCATCGTCCGCACGACCTTCGAGAACAACACGGCCTACGACGACCGCCACTCCTACGGCGGCGCGCTCTTCCTCAAGTCCGACGCCGTCGTCGAGGACTGCGTGTTTCGCGGCAACTCCGCGACGGAGGGCGGCGCGATCTACGTCGACATCGCCGCCGCGGAGTTCAAGATCTACCGTTCAGTTTTCGAGAACAACGTCGCGGACATCGGCGGCGCTATCGCGTCCTGCGCGAGCTCGGGGGACTACACGTGGAACGGTCTGATGGTCGTCGCGGACGTCGCCGCGACGCGCAACGCCGCGCTGCGCGCGGACGCGGACAAGGAGGGCGGCGGCTTCCTCAAGGTCAACGGCGGCCGACTCGCGCTCAAGAACGTGTCGCTCGCGGGCAACTCCGCCGCGGGCGCGCCGAGCGGCCTCGGATTGCGCTACGCGGTCGCGGAGCTCCACCGCGTCCGGTCCCTCTCCCCGAACCAGACGCTCTTCCTCGCCAACTCCGTGACCGTCGACTTCTACTGTTTGGACGAGCTCGTGCCCGTCGAGGCCCCGGACCAGTACAACGAGATCGCCGTCACGTACGCCGCGGACGAGTGCTCGCTCTGCCGCGAGGGCCGCGCGTGGGACGGCGACAGCTGCGAGCCCTGCCCCCCTGGCACGGCCAAGGCCACGGGCGACGCCGCCTGCGGCGCGTGCCCGGCCGGCACGGTCCAGCCCTACTTGGGCTTCACGGCGTGCGCCGAGTGCACGGAGAACCGCGTGCCCGACGCCGACGCCGTCGACTGCGAGCCCTGCGCGACCTACGGCGCGAACACGTGCGCGTCGCCGGGCGACGCTGTTTGCGCGTGCTGCGAGGGATTTTACGACGCCGGCGGCACGTGCCGGAGCTGCCCCAAGGGCGCGAGCTGCCCCTTCGGGTCGGAGCTCGCGTCGCTCGTCGTCAAGGAGAAGTGGTTCCGGACGACGGCGAGCTCGAAAAAGCTCTACCGGTGCCCGGGGGGCGGCGACGCGTGCCCCGGCGGCAACGCCACGGGCGAGGGCCTCTGCGCGGACGGCTACGACGGCGTGCTCTGCTCGGACTGCGAGCGGGGCCACTACGCGACAGCCGGCGGCGTCGCCTTCACGTGCGACGGCTGCGACAGCGGCGCGCGCGGCCTCTCGCTCGGCGTCTACGCCTTCCTGTTTCTCCTGGGCTTCTGCGGCGGCATCTGGCTCATCTTCGCGGAGCGCGGCCGCGAATGCTTCATCTTCGTCGCGGACACGCAGGGCGGCGCGGCGAACGACGTCGTCGGGGCCGTCAAGGATCTCGGCGCGGAGGACGGCGGTATGTACGCGAATCTCGGGCGCCACATCGGCAAGTTCAAGGCCATCTGCGCCTTCTACCAGATCGTGAGTTCCGTGCCCAACGTCTTCGGCGCGATGCTCAACGTGCCGGACGTCTACGGCCACTTCCTCCGCGTCGCGTCCGTGACGAACTTCGGGTTCTCCGAGCTGCTCGCGACGCGCTGCCTGAGCTCGGCGTCGAACGAGCGGTACTACGCGACGACTCTGGTCGGCACGACGGTCACGCCCTTCGTGCTTTTAGCGTTCCTCGCGGCGTCCTACGCCGTCGCGAAAGTCAAAGAGAAGCGCCCGGAGCAGCTCCAGCGCACGGGCATGCTGCTCATCGAGGGGTTCCTGCTCTTCCTCCACCTCTCGCTCCCGCTCCTGAGCATCGGATCCGTCAGCGCGCTCGTCTGCGACGCCTACGACTTCGGCGACGGCGGCGACGAGAGCTTCCTGCGCGTGGCGCCGGCGATCTCCTGCGACGGGTCGCTCTACCGGCGCTTCGTGAGGGTGTATGGGATTTTGTGTGTTGTTCTCTACCCCATCGGCGTGCCGCTCGTCTACTTTGTGCTGCTCTACGGCGCGCGGAACGAGCTCAATCCGACGGAGTCCGCGGAGGCCCTGGCCGTGCTCGAACACTTCTCCGATCACGAGATCGACTTCAACGTCCACAAGGAGGTCAAGGTCGCCGAGGGGCTCGGGGACACGCCCCACCAGAACCACCAGCACGGCACCGCCGTGCGCAACGCCATCTCCCACAACGCGCGCGCGAGCCTCATCCGCCGCGACACCTTCCAGCGAGGGCCGGCGCCCCGTTGCCGTGACGATTTTCGAGAGATTTGGGGTGGGAACACAACGAGAAATCGTCACCGTCATGCTTGGTAGGCAAGGGCTCATGGACCTCCGGGACTGCCGCCTCGACGGGTCGGAGGGAGGCGCGTCGACGCGCTACATCCCCGTCGACTCCTTCAAGTACCACGCAGGGCAGGAAACGAGTGATTCAAGTTCGCTTCAACACGAGTGTTCCGCGCGCGCGCGTGCCGGAAAAAGCATCCACGCGTCGAAAGCGCTCCGAGAGATGATCGCTCGTCCAAAAATTAGCCGAACGAGTGGAAAACGATCGAGATATGAGCCTCCAAAGTTGGGAATTTCGCACTCTTTTCCTGCCCAGGTACCTCTGGCGCGACTACGAGCCGCGCGTCTACTGGTGGGAATGCCTGGAAGTTTTGCGGCGCGTCTTCTTCACGGCGCTCATCGCCATCCTGGACCAGGGCTCGAAGCTCCAGCTCGCCATCGCCGTCGCCGTCGCCATCTTGTACCTCGCGGCCTACATCCAATACAGACCGTTCGTCTTCGAAGAAGACGACGCGATCGCGGAGATCGCGTCCTGGGCCATCGTCATCACGCTCTTCGTGTGCCTCATGATCCGCGCGGAGATCGCGCTGCACCGGCCGGGCCTCGCCGTGCTGAGCAATTTGCTCCTCTTCGCGGCGGCGCTGCTTCCCTTGTTCGCGTTCGCGACGGTGGTCGCGGGCGCCCTCGGCGAGAAACCGCCGGAGGAGGAGGAAAAGGAGGAGGCCGAGAAGCCCGACTCGCCGCCCGGGTCGCCGTGGGGCGACGACAAGGCGCCGCCCGGCGGGCTCTCGCCGTCCGAGCTCGCGGCGCGCGCTTCCGGGGCCACCGCCGCCGTCGCCCGCGCGGAGCAGGAGGCGGAGGTCTACGACCGCGTCTACGAAGACGACGCGCCGGCGTCGCCCGTGACCTGCGGCGCGGCGTGCCTCCCGGACTTTGGTCCGCGGGGGGGGGTGACGTTCAGCGAACCGGCATCCCTCCCGCGGGACTTCCGCGAAACAGAATCCCTCTGACCTTCCCGGGCCGTAGACCGCCCCATCCGGTATGGCCCCTCAAACTACCCCGGAGGCCTAAGGAGCCTCGCCCCCGCGGTCCGGCGCCCACCAGAAGGACACGGAGAAGGACGGCTCCCGGCTCTCGACGTAGTGCCAGAAGTGGGGCGGGATGTAGAGCAGGTCGCCGGGCTCGAGGACGACGTCGACGTAGGGCGCGCCGGCGAAGGCCGGGAAGTCCGCGGCGTCGTCGATGTCTTCGATCCGGCTCGAGACCGCGTGGACGTCGGCCGCGTCGCGCGGGTAGAGCGCCGCGGAGTGCTCCGGATCGTAGAGCCGGACGTACTTCGAGCCGACGACCTGGGCGAGCAAATTGTGGTAGCGGTCGTGGTGGAGCGGCGATTTGGTCCGGCCCCCGAGCCACGCGTTCATCGTCGGCGGCCCGCCGCCGAGGCAGCAGTAGTCCGGCGTCGCGACGTCTCTCGCCAGCCGCGGCACCTGGTCGAAGAGCGCGTGCTGCGCGAGGTAGGCGCCGTCTTCGCCGAGCTCGACCTCGCCCAGGAAGTCGCCGAGCGTGCAGAGCGACTCGGCGAAGTCGTCCGCGAGGTAGTGCGCGCCGCGCTCGACGGGCACCGTCCGGTGCCCCGCGACGCGCCTCAGGTAGTCGAAGGACGCCCAGGGCCGCGTCGTCAGCGCGGGCCAGTGGGCCATGCAGTTCGTGAGCAACGCCGGCCGCCGCGGCGCGTAGCAGGCGCGCTCGAAGGCCGCGACGGACGGGCGCTCGAACGCCGGGACGTCCGCGCCCGTCCGCGGCCGCGCGTCGACGACGGGCGGCCGCGGCCGCGGCGGCGCGATCGGCGCGTCGGCGTCGACGCCGAGCCGCGCCTCCAGCAAATCCACCAGCGCGAGGAGCGCGGGCCGGTGGAACGCGTCCGACAGCATGAGGCCCAGGTCCAGGCACGCGACGGCGTTTCCTGCTTCTCCTTGCTCGCCGCGCGACCAGCCCGCGTAGAACGCCGCGACGGCGTAGCAGCGCCGCCAGGCGACGGGCACGGCGCGCCAGTGCGCGCCGTCGCCGTGGAGCGCGGCCCAGGCGACGTCCCGCACGCCGTCCCAGGCCTCGACGGCGCGCGCGTGCTCTCGTTCCGCCGTCGCGGCCGCCGCGGCGCGCCACGCGTCGACGTCCGCGAGCACGGTCCGCGCGGACGCGGCCGCGGCGTCGAGGTCCGGCGCGAAGGCCGGCAGGTCGCACCGCGGCCGCTTCCTCGGCGGCTCTCGCCGCGAGACGTCGACCGGGATCGCGAGGCGGAGCGGCCGGTCTCCGCCGACGGCGCCGTCGGAGTACTGCGCGTACAAGGCCCGCCGGGGGAACGCCGACCCGTTGGCCCCGGACGCGTGCTCGCAGTCGTCGCTCAGCAGCACGACGTCGCCCGCCGCGCACCGCAGCGGGAGCTCCTCGCCCCGGAAGCGCACGACCAGGCACCCGTTGGCCTCGTCGACGTCGTCCAGGGGGCACCAGCAGGACACGTAGCGGCGCCGCGGCCCCGCGAAGGACGCGAGCTGCTCGTCGACGTCGCGGTGCCAACGGAAGGCGACGTCGCTCCGCGCGGGCTTCACGACGAAGTGGTCGTTGAAGAGGAAGACGCGGTCGGGAGCGCCGAGGTGCGCCGCCGCGAGGCGCGGGAGGGCGTCGAAGAGCGCGGAAACGCAGGTCTCGCGCCGCGCGGCCGCGTAGGCGGCCCGGTCCGCGCGCCATTCGTCGCCGGCCGCGGCGACGACGGGCTCGAGCACGCAGCCGTTCGCGACCGTCGGCGGCGTCTTCGCCGCGAGCGCGTCGGCCTCGCGGCGCAGGTCCGCGAGCGCCTCCGCGCCGAGCGCGCCGCGGACGACGGCGAAGGGCCGCATCTAGGTCTTCTTCTTGCCCTCGAGCGTGCCCCAGCCCTTCTGGGGCTTCTCGACGGCCTTCTTGAGCCACCAGGCCAACGCGGCGGCGTGCAACAGCACGAGCGCGGACACGACGACGATGACGGACGTCGGGATGCCGTGGATGGGCTTCATGGAATGCGTCGAGCGCGCGCAGTAAGATGGGCGGCGAAGCGTCGGCAATGCGTCCTTCGCTGCTCCAGAGTCAACTGGAGCACAGCCTATAAAGTGCATCGTGCGGCATTCGAACCTCGGGGCAGCTATCCGCCGTCCGCGAGGCAGCGCACGATGCCGCCGTCGGGGAAGATCGAGGTCGCGGAGGAGGGGAACAAGCGCCGCGGCGAGATGTCGCCGGCGGAGGTGCGGCAGTGCTCCAAGGACATCGTCGAGTGGTTCCGGAAGCACGCGGACCTCGACGCCGTGGGCACGCCCCAGGACGACGTCGACCGCATGGCGAAGCGGCGAGCGCTGCCCCTGGCCCTCGAGGAGCTCTACCTGAGCGCCAGGGACGGCATCTGGTTCGAGGACAAGGAGCTCATCGCCCTCCAGGCCTGCGGCAAGCTCCTCGGGGAGATCGACGAGCCGTACTTCCCGTTCGCGCGCGACGTCGACGACAACATGCTCGTCGTCAACTGCAAGAACGAGGCCGTCTACGAGTGGGACCTCGCCGACGGCCGCGGCGACGAGGTCGAGCGGAGCATCACGGACTACCTCGAAGGCTACCGGAACAAGCTCCTCGAGAACAAGTACGAGTACATGGACGGCGACGGCTGCATCGAGAAGGCCGGCGGCTCGTCGGCGCCGCCGCCCCGCGGCAAGTAGGCGCGCGCGGGGTCGGGCGGGCGCGCGTCCCGCCGCGTAAGGTCCCGTCTCGAAGTCTCGGAGCCCGTCCGGCAAATCGGCAATCGTCCAGCACTTCGTCCGGCTCGCCGAGGTTCAACATGGTTTCCCGATCCCTTGATCCCTTGATTGGGGGACGATGGAAGCCTAGGGCAGCCCGGGACCATGCCGCGGCGCCCCTGTCGATCGAAGGCGTACGACGAGATCGAAGACGCGGCGGAGAGGAAGTCGCGGTCGCGCATCCTCGCCGGCGCGTCGTCCTTCGTCGTCGCGTTCTTCGTCGTCCTCAGCTACGCCTGGCTCAAGCCCGACGCCGGCGCCTCGACGCTGCGCGCGACGCGGTCCCACAAAGCCGCCGCGGTGGCCGCCGGCACGCCCCTGTCCTTCCGCGTGCGCAACGCCTACGTCGACGCCTACGGCGAGCCCGGGACGCTCTATTCCTGGGCGTCGTCGTACGACGCGATCGCCGAGCCCCACAAGTGGCAGGAGCTCGTCGCCGTCTGGGCCGCGGCGGGCAACGCGACCAACGTGACCTGGGCCTTCGACGACGGGTCGACGGCGTCGGGCGCCGCCGTGCTCAAGAAGTTCTTCGCGTTACGCACGTACGCGATCTCTCTCACCGCGGCCGACGAGAACGGCACGTCCGTCGCCTACGCCGGCACGGTCATCGTCAAGTACATCCGCCGCGAGATCCGCCAGCTCACGGACGGCGACCGCCACGCTTGGCTCGACGCCATGCAGACGCTCTGGAACACGTCGACGGAGGCCGGCTCGCGGCTCTACGGGCCCGCGTACCTCGACATCAACGACTTATCGAAATACCACGTGACCCTGTCGTCGGACGTGACCTGCGACCACATGCACGACGGCCTCGGCTTTTTGACGATGCACAGCGGCCTGTCCCTCATGTTCGAGCAGGCCATGCAGGCGGTCGACGCGCGCGTGTCGTTGCCGTACTGGGACTTCACGATCGACAAGTGGCTCCTCGACAGCGGGAACCTGTCGAGCGTGTGGCGGTCGCCGATCTTCGACGCGTCCTGGCTCGGGGGCGTCAACCGCGACACGCTGACGATCGACGAGGGCCGGTGGGCGAACATCGCCGTCGCGGCGAACCAGTGGACGGCGACGCACAACTCCTACGGCTACCTGCGCGCGCCCTGGAACAACAACCCGCAGCCCTACCTCACGCGCGTGCCCGACATGTGCGGCTACTCCGGGACCGCGCTGCCGTCGTGCGTCGAGCACTACTTTTTGCTCACGTCGGAGACGTGGTACGACTTCGCGTGGTTGCTCCCCTACGACCCCCACGGCACGGTCCACGAGGTCATCGGCGGCACGTTCCACTGCAACGACACGGCCGCGGGCGTCGAGGCGTACCTCCGCGCGGAGGTCCCCTGCCGGGGCGACTGCGAGGCGCAGTACGAGGAGTACGAGACGTTCATGGCCTACCTGCGGGGCAGCCTCTTCGTCACGCTCAAGGACATGTACCGGTCCGGCGACCTCGAGATGCCCCAGTACTGCTCCGCGGAGACGCCCTTCGCGGAGTGCCACGCGGCGTGCACGTCCCACAAGGACGTCGAGGCCCACTGGGGCGTCATGTTCTCCTGGTACGAGGAGGTCGAGTCCTACGCGTGGCTCACGTCCAAGGTGAAGCGCTACGTCATCGACGCGGTCTGCGACGGCGGCATCGGCGCCGACGGCGACCAGCTCGAGTCCGGGAGCCCCATGGACCCGTCCTTCTGGCCCATCCACCCGACCATGGAGCGCCTCTTCATCTACAAGAAGATCTCCGACACCTTCGAGTCCGAGTCCTGGCCGGGCACGGGGTCCGCGGCCGTGACGAACTGCACGGGCCACCAGAAGAGCTCCGTGATCCCGTTCGCGTTCTCGCTCCGCGACGGCGACGAGGGCGGCGACCCGACGATGCAGACGCTCTACACGAACGAGGAGATGTACGACCTGCTCGACCCGGCGTCGCCGGTCGTGCCCTTCATCTACGCGGACTTCGACTGGGCCCACTGCGACTCGGCCATCTACGGCCTCGACTTCACGGACTTCCTCACGTCGACGACGGGCGCGCCGAGCCGCAAGGTCCACGCCGCCTCCAAGGGCCGGAAGGGCGGCCGCCGCTGGCTCTACGCGCCGGGCGACGAGCGGTAAGTACGCGCGGGGTTCCCTACGCGCCGGCGACGGCGCAGTCGCCGCCGCGCTCGCGCTTCGCGAGGTAGTCGGCGTGGTGGTGCTGGAGGAGGTAGGCGTGCGCCTGCTCGGGCGTGTAGCGGTCCGCGTCGAGGATGACCTGGAGCACGTGCTCCCTGCCCTTGTCGTCGCGGCCGACGGACAGCGTCGCGCCGTCGTGCCCCAGCTTGCCCGCGCGCTTGCGGAAGATGTTCCGCGGGTCGATGTCGCCGGGCTTGCGCAGGCGCACGTAGGCGCGCCCGTCGTCGACGCGGTCGAACTCGCACGTCGGCTGCGGCGGCGTCGCGGGCTTTTCCGGCGACGGCGCCGGCGCGGGCTCCTCCGGCGACGGCGGCTTCTCCGGCGACGGCTCCGCGGCGGGCTCGCCGGCGCGCGCGGGCTCGTCGGCGCGCGCCGCCTCGGCGGGCGCCGCGTTCTCGTCCGGCGGCGGCGCCGAGCTCCGGCGGCGGCGCGCGAGGCCCGTGCGCGGCGAGAGCCGGGGCTTGGCGTCCTCGCCCGCCGCCGGCGACGGCTCGCGCGACGGCGCGCTCGCGGCGTTGCTCTTCGACGACCGCTTCTTGCGCAGGGCCGCGGGCCGCTTCTTCTTGGGCTCGCCGTTCTTCTCCTTGAGCACGTCCTGCTTCGACGCCTCGCGCCGCGGCGGCGGCGGCGCGGAGATGCGGCGGTGGAGCTTCGGCGCGAAGGACAGCTCGTCGGCCTCGCGCTGCTCCTTCTCGGCGCGCTGCGCGTCGAGCTTCTCCCGCTTCTTCTCCGCGCAGTGGGCCTGGCGCTCGAGCATGGACATGCGGCTCAGCTGGCGACCGGGCCGCTTCTTGCGGCCGGCCTTGTCCTGGGGCGGCGGCTCGTCGTCGCCGAACTGACTCCGCGCGGAGTCGAGGCCGCTGCCCCGCGCGGACTGGGTGCGCCGCGCGGAGAGCGTCGGCTTCGCGCTCCGCCGGCCCTCGCGCTCCGTGCGGCTCCGGGGGCCGCCGCCGTCGGCCTTGGCGAGGTCGAGCTGCGGGAGCTTGAGCTGCGGCGGCGCGGCGAGCGGGCTGCCCTGCTCGCTCGCCTCCCGCAGCGTGTCGAGGGCGTAGGCCTCGGCGGGCGAGAGCATCTCCGTGGCCGCGTCGCGCGTCTCCGGGGGCGCGCCGCCGGCCTGGGCCGCGGCGTGCGCGGACGTCTTGAGTTCGCCCGCGGTGCCGGCGAGGACCTTCTCCACCCACATCTTGTGGAAGTCGCCCGCGGACGCCGTCGACGCCTTGAGCTCCAGGGCGACGTGCGCCCAGCAGAGGGCCATCTCCTCGTGCTTCGTCGCCGCGTCGCCCCGCGCGAGGCAGGCGTGGAGCACGCTGACCATGCCCTCGACGGCGGCCTGGCCGCCGAAGAGGCGCTGCGGGCACTTGTTCTTGAGCCAGGAATCGATCTCCCGGGCCTTCTCCGTCGGCCAGGGGCCGATGGCGTCCTTCGACTTGCGCGGCGAGATGATGACCATGGTGCGACGCCGCGACGAGCGCAGTGCCAAGTCGGCGCGAGCGGCGTCGGCAGTTTGCAGGCGGGCTGCCCTCGCTTTGTTCGGATGCTGAAGCTTCAATGTGTCTGTGTTGCACCGACGCCGCGCGCGCCGCTGTGTTGCTCTTGAGTCTCACGAGCGTCGCCGCGCTGCGCAACGCTGGCAGCACCACTCGCCGCCGACTGCTCGCCGCGCCGCTGCCGCTGCTGCTCCCGCTCCCGGCCGCCGCCGAGGTCCCGAAGCTGGGCCGCTTCGCGCCGCTCAGCGGCGCGGCGTCCTTCATCGGCGCGTGGACGCTCGACGCGACGGCCGACGGCGCAAAGTTCTCCGGCGCGCTCGACTTCGCTGCGAACGGCGACGCGCGCCTCCGCGGGCGGACCTGCGCGTCCATCTGCCAGGACGTGCTCCTCGGCGAGTCGGCGAGCGCGTGGAAGTACGCGAACAAGAACGACGTCGTCTCCGTGTCCTGGACGCTCGACCTCGCGACGGTCTACGACGACGTGCTCATCTTCGACGGCGCGCTCGACGACGACGGGTCGCTGCGCGGGACTGTGTACACGGGCGACGCGGAGATCGGCGCGCGCGGCGCGGGCAAGCGCAAGCGCGTCGGCGCGTTCGTCGCGCGGCGATGATGCAATCTTCCATGTTATGTGCACGCGCGGCCTACGCGCCGAGGACGTCCGGGTAGAGGACGGGCCCGATGGCCTGCTTGAAGTTGTTGATGAGGAAGAAGGTCGTCGCGATGAGGCTGATGCGGAAGGAGAGCCCCTTGAAGAGGCCCTGGACGACGCCGTACTCCGCGGCGAGGCTCTTGCCCGTGTCGAGGACGCCGCCGTACTTGGTCCGCTCCAGGTCGCCCTGGAGGCACGTCTTGATCGTGTCCATGGGGTGCGTGACCGTCGCGGAGAAGAACGCGCCCGTCAGCGCGCCGGCCGCGAGCGCGACCTGCTTGTCCATGCCCGAGCTGTCGACGAGCTTGCGCTGGATCTGGGGCGTGACGCCGAGCATGGCCATGGTGAAGAGCGACTCGCGGCCGAGCGTCATCGTCAGACCCCGGAGGAGGCCCGCGCCCCCGAAGTTGCGCAGGATGCCCGTCGGCGTGCCGAGGATGGACCCGCCGAAGCGCTGCTGCTGGATCATCGTCAGCTCCCAGACGGAGCAGGGCACGCCGGAGGCCAGGCCGCCGAGGAACGCGCCGCCCATCTCCGCGTCGTCCTTGCTCGCGACGGAGCCGAGCGCGCGCTGGAAGAAGCCCGTCGTGCCTAACAAAATTCTTCGGTGACGACGGTTCGTCGTTTTCCCGGTCTCTCGAACATCGCCGCGGGACGCCGCGTCGAACCGAACTGCACGGCCGTCGTGCCGCCGAGGTTCAGCATGGCCATGGGCAGGCCCCGATAGACCACGGCCGGGTTGAGGGACACGCCGAGGCCCTGCTGCACGCTGTTCTTCCAGGACAGCAGCGGGTAGTTGATGGCCTTGCAGCAGCAGCCGGCGACCATGCCCAGGCCGCAGTTCTGCGCGCCGTTCAGCTTCGCAAGATCTGCGCCGCCGCCCATGGTCGTGCGCTAAGTGCTGCTGCGCGCCGGCGGGTGGCGCGTGAGTGAGTGCCGCGCGCTGCTGCGGGCTAGCGAAAACTCGCGCCAACACGATTTGCCACAGCTTTGTCAAGGTCGAGTTCGAGTGCTGCGAGACGCCGAGGTCGACGTCGAGCACGAGGCCGGCAGCATTGCCGCCGACGGTGTAGGCACCTACGGCCTCGCACTCCAATATGCAAAACCTCACCCCTTAATCTTCAGCCCCTTGGGGTCGTAGAGCGGCCCGAGGGTCGCCCGCGCCGGGACCATCGTCCCCGCGACGTCGACGGCCCAGTCGCCGCCGTCGATCCACTTCTTCGTCGCGGCCGCGCCGCCGCCGGGCGCGACCATGGCCAGCCCGACGGCGCCGCCGACGGCGTGGCCGTAGGACGCCGCGCGCACGTCGCCGACGACGACGCCGTCGCGGTAGACGACCTCGCCGTGGTGCGCGAAGGCCGCCGGGTCGTCGAGCGCGACGGACACGAGCCGCCGGCGCCGCGGCGCGGCCTTGTGCTCCAGGCACTTGGCCCTGCCGTTGAACTCCTTGGAGAAGTCGCAGGTGAAGCCCAGCCCGACGTCGTAGGGCGTGTCGCAGTTGTCGACGTCGTGGCCGAAGTCGCGGTAGCCCTTCTCCAATCGCAGCCCCGAGAGCGCCTTGAGCCCCGCGGGCGCGAGGCCAAAGTCGGCGCCCGCCGCCGTCAGCACGTCGTAGACGTCGACGGCGTGCTCCGCGGGGACGAAGAGTTCGAAGCCGAGCTCGCCGACGTAGGTGATGCGCGCGATCAGCACCTGCGGGCAGTAGCCGACCGTGACCGTCGCGACGCCGCGGAACGGCAGGCCGGCGACGACGTCGCCGTCGTCCGCGCCGGAGACGGCCGCCCGCAGGATGTCCCGCGACCGCGGCCCCTGGAGCGCGAGCTGCGCGAGGCCGCCCGTGACGTCCGCGAAGGCGACCTGGGCAGGACAAGAGTGCGAAATTCCCAACTTCAAAGGCTCCTCTCTCGGCCGTTTTCCACTCGTTTCGGCTGATTTTTGGACGAGCGATCATCTCTCGGAACGGTCTCGAAGCGTGGATGCTTTTTCCTAGAACGCGCGCGCGCGGAACACTCACGTTGAAGCGACGTTGAATCACCCTTGTCCTGCCCTGTAGGCGACGACTTCGTCGCCGCCGATCTCCCGGCGGAGCAGCGCCTCAACGTGGCGGTGCGCCGTGTCCGTGGCGACGACGAGGAACGGGTCCGCCGCATCCGCGTCCCCGAAGCGCGGCGCCAGGCCCGTCGCGTCGGCCCAGCGGGCCGGGAGCCGCGTGACCGTGAGGTCGGCTTCTAAAGTGCCGGTCGAGTCGCGGAGCCACTGCGTGTAGGTGATGCCCGCGGACACGTCCGCCGTGCTCAGGCGCTGCAGCACCCGCTCCGCGTCCCTCCCCGCCACGGCGAACTTGGACATGAAGGACATGTCGACGAGGCCCGCGCGCTCGCGGACCGCCGCGTGCTCCGCGGCCCAGGCTTCGAAGAACGCGGGCTCGCCCCAGCCCAGGTCCGACGCGTCCGGCGCGCCGAACCAGTCCGGCGCCTCGAAGCCCGACACGGCGCGGAACGTCGCGCCGGCGGCGACGTGCCTCTCGTGGAGCGGCAGGCGGAGCGCGCCGCGCGCGGATTTCGGCGCTTTGAACGGGTAGTGGCACTTGTAGACGTCGCCGAGCGCCTCCTCGACGCGCCGCGCGCGGTAGAGCGGCGCGCGCTGGAAGTCCTTCGTGCGGTCGACGTGCACGCCGCAGACGTCCGTGTCCGGGACGCCGTCGACGACCCAGTTCGCGACGGTCCGCCCGACGCCGGGCCCCGTCAGGATGCCGATGCTGTTCATGCCCGCGGCCACAAAGTAGCCCGAGAGCTCCGGCGTCTCGCCGATCAAGGGCGCGAGATCGGGAGCAAACGACTCGGGCCCGCAGAAGAAGGTGCGCACGCCCGCGGCGCCGGCCGCGGGCACGCGACCGCACGCCGTCTCCAAAAACGGCGCCATGCGGTCCCAGTCCGGCTCGATCTCGCCGAAGCTAAAGTCCGGCGGGATGTGCCCGACGTTCCACGCCGCCGCCTCGGGCTCGAACAGGCCGACCATCAAACCGCCGCCCTCGGGCCGGATGTACGTGTGCGAACTCGGGTCCTCGACGACGGGCCAGTCCGGGTCGACGTCGGCCATGGGTTCCGTGACGAGGTAGTAGTGCTCCGCGGCCTGGTTCGGCACGCAGACGCCGTGCCTCTCGGCGAACTGGCGCGCCCACATGCCGCCGCAGTTGACGACGTAGTCCGCTTTGATGGTGTGGCCGCACGTCGTCGCCACGCCCGCGACGCGGCGTCCTTCGGTAATTAAATCCTCGGCGGCGACGCCCTCGACGACCGTGCCGCCCATGTTTTTGAAGCCCTTGGCGAGCGCCGCCGTGGCGTCGACGGGGTTCACGCGGCCGTCGTCGGCGACGTAGAAGCCCGCTAAAACGTCGTCGACGCGGCAGAGCGGAAACAGGCGCTCGACCTCCGCCGCGGAGATCTCCTGGACGTCGACGCCCTCCTTGCGGTTGAAGGCCGCGACGCGCCGGTACTCCTCGAGGCGGTCGCCGTCCGTCGCGAGCTCGATGAAGCCGCAGCCCTTGAAGCCCGTCGCCAGTCCCGTCTCCGCTTCGAGCGTTTCCGCGTAGAGCCGCTTGGAGTACTTGCGCCACTCCGTGGACGTGGCGCTCAGGCTGCCGAACGTGACCATCAGCCCCGCGGCGTGCCACGTCGTGCCGCTCGTCAGGCGGTCGCGCTCGAGGAGCACGACGTCCTCCCAGCCGCGCTTGGCGAGGTGGTAGGCCGTCGACGTCCCGATGATGCCGCCGCCGACGACGACGACGCGCGCCTGGCTCGGAAGCGTTGTGAGCCGTCGCGTTCGCAGCGCGCGCAGCGCTGGCGGCGCGCGAAGCGCTGGCAGCGCGCGGCTCGACGCCAAGCGAGATGCCATATGCCTCAAAGCCTCGCTGTGGCAAATTTGAAGTCGATGTATTCCTAAATCTGATTGGCTGCAGGCAGCCCGCCAATGGCCGAGGTATTCCTCTACTGAGATAGATCTAGACATGGTCGCCGGCGCCGACAGGATGGCGGCGGACACGGAACACCAGCGGCTGCCGCTGAGCCCACCTCCAGCGATACAACGAGAAGACGACCGGCCTCGGCCGTGCCTCCACCTGCTGGGCATGGTCCTGCGCTGCTCCATCCTCGCCGCCGTCGTCGCCGCCGCCGTCGACGCGGTCTACAGACGGGAAAAGCTCTACCGGCGGAGCACCTACGCCTTCGCCTTCGACGACCCGGACACGCGCAAGTACGCGCGCTACCTCGCGCGCGACAGCGGCTCGGCCCCGGCGAACTTCTCGGCCGCCGCGTGGGCCGCGGCCTACGGCGCCGCGGCGTCCGCCGTGCGCCGCTGCGACACGCAAGAGATGACTACGTTGTACGTCGGCCGGAAGGCGTCGGCCTGCGGCAACGGCGCGAACCGGGCCTGCAAGCGCGGCTTCGGCCTCTCGGCGGCCGGCGCGTTCGCCGCGTGCGACGGCGGCCATTTCTGCGCCGAGGACGCGGTCTGCGCCGTCGCCTGCCCCACGGGCGCGGCCTGCCCCCCGTCCGTCGCCCAGGACGGGGCCTGCGCCTTCCCGAGCGCGCTGGAAAAGACGACGTCGCCGACGAACGGCCTCTGCCCGGGGTCGTCCGCGGTGCACCCGTGCCCGTCCGGCTTCTCGTGCCCCGACGCGACGACGCGCCTCCCGTGCCCGGCGCACCACTTCTGCCCCAAGGGCTCCGCCCGGCCGAAGCGGTGCAGCGCCTTCGCGCGGTGCGCCTCCGAGCGCGCGGCGCGCCAGGACTTCTCCGGCGCGTCGCAGCGCCTCGCGCTCGCGTCGCTGGTGCTCGTCGTCGTCGTCGTCCGCGTGAGCCGCCTGCTCCAGAGCTTCCTCGCCTTTCTCCGGCGGCACCGGTCGCGCAAACGGCGCGCGTTCCGCGCCGCGCCCGTCGCGGACGCGGCGTCGGACGACGACGACGGCGACGACGACGCCTGGGGCGTCATCGAGGTCGACGGGACGGCGGACCTCGACGCCTACGACGCGCTCGTCGACCCCGTGGACTCCATGGACGTCGCTTTAGAGGCGGAGGTCTTCGGCGACGACGCGACGGCCTGGGAGGAGTTGCCGCTGGCCGTGCCCGCCAGGGCAGCAAAAGAGAGCGAAATTCCCAACTTCAAAGGCTCATATCTCGGCCGTTTTCCACTCGTTTCGGCTGGTTTTTGGACGAGCGATCATCTCTCGGAACGGTCTCGAAGCGTGGATGTTTTTTCCGGAACGCGCGCGCGCGGAACACTCACGTGAAGCGACGTTGAATCTCTCTTTTGCTGCCCAGGTGCCCGCGGACGCGCGGTTCGTGCACGGCGTCGTGTCGCGCGGCGCGGCGCCGCGGCCGCGGCCGCCGCCGGAGGACCTCGCGCCGGCGTTTCGCCCGCGCGAGGCCGACGAGCGCGTGGACCTCACGTTCCGCAACCTGGGCCTGCGCCTCGCGTCGGGCGCGCGCGTCCTCGGCGGCGTCGCGGGCGCCGCGAGGAGCGCCGAGCTCACGGCCGTGCTCGGCCCGTCCGGCGCGGGGAAGAGCACGTTCCTGGCCCTGCTGGCGGGCAGGCGCCTCGGGTCGGGCTGGCGCACGGGGTCCGTGCGCGTCAACGGGCGCCGGGGCGGCGTCGAGCGCTGGTGCGCGGACCGGAGCGCCTTCGTGCACCAGGCGGACGCGCTCAAGGCGCGGCTCACGGTCTGGGAGACGCTCTACTTCTCGAGCTGCCTGCGGCTGCCCGCGGCGCACCGGCGGCGGCGGGACCTCGTCGAGGACGTGCTCGAGGCGCTGGACCTGTCGCGGCGGAAGCACGCGCTGCTCGGCGACGGCGCCGCGGCGCGCGGCGTCTCCGGCGGCCAGCGGCGCCGCGTCTCCGTGGGCGTGGAGCTCGTCGCGGAGCCGAGCCTGTTATTTTTGGACGAACCGACGTCCGGCCTCGACTCGGCGACGGCGCTGCGGCTCGCGAGGACGCTCCACGCGCTCGCGGCCCAGAAGAACGTCGCCGTCGTCGCCGTGCTCCACGCGCCGTCGAGCGCCGCCTTCGCCCTCTTCGACCGGCTCCTCCTGCTCGGCCGGGGCGGCACGGCCTTCGAGGGCAAGCCCGGCGACGCGCTGCCCTACCTGCGGAGCGTGCGGCCAATCGACGCGTCGCACGCGAACCCGGCGGACGCCGTCGTCGCCGTCGTCGCCGGCGACGACAAGCTCGCGTCGCTCTGGCGGGCGCCCCCGCTTCCGGAGACCCGGGCGCCGCCGCCGCGGCGCCGGCGCGCGCGGCCGGCGTTTCCCGCCGCGGTCCGGATCCTCGCGAGCCGCTACGCCGTCGAGCGGTCGCGGCGGCTGGGCGAGCTCTTCAGCGACTGCGTCGTCGAGGCGCTCGCGGGCGCGCTCGTCGCGTCGACGTACTCGGAGTACGCCTTCGGGGATCTGCCGTCGATGAACTTCATGACGTCGCTGGGTCTCGTGTTCACGGTCGCGCTCGCGGCGCTGCCCTGCTTCGGCGGCGAGCGCTCCGGCCTCGACCGCGAGGCGTCGCCCGCGGGCGCGGATCTCGACCTGGCGGCCTATTTCCTCGCCGTGGACCTCGTGGAATTGCCGCGGCTCGCCCTGCTAACGGCGGCGTTCCTGTCCGTCTACTACCCGCTGACGGCCCCGCTCACGCGGCCGGTCGTCTTCTTCGGCGTCTGCGCGGCCTGCGCCTACGCCGCGGCGGGCGTCGGCTACCTCGCGTCGACGGTTTTTTTACGGGAGTCGAAGGCGCAGCTCGCGGCGACGGTCTTCGTGCTCGTGGCCTCCATGTTCGCGGGCGTGGTCCCGACGCTCGACGATCTGGCTTCCATGTCGCCCCTTTTGGTGGGGCTGCCCTGGGCGTCGCCGAACCGCTGGCTCTGCGAGGCGCTTTATGTTTTGCAGGCGCGGCACTTCTCGGACGCGTGGAAGATGCCCGTGACTTTTATCGACGACCCGAACCGCCACTCGGCGCTCGCGGGACTTCACGCGTTCCACTACGCGGACGACGGGCTCGTCTTGGACGTGGCGCTTCTACTGGTCATCGGCGTCGCCTTGCGGCTCGGCGCGCTCGGCGCGCTCTTGGGGCTCCACCGCGAGCGGCGCGACCGCGCGTCGCTGCCCAAGGCGCTGTGCCTGGCCGGGGTCGTGGCGCCGCTCGCGCGGGCCGTCGACGCGCTGGGGCGGACGCCGGCGCTGGCGCTCGCGGTCTTCGGCGTCTTTTGCATGGTCGCCGCGGGGCTCGTGGTGTCGAGCGCGTGGTGGTAATGTGAATGTCGCGGTCTTTGGCCTCCCCTGCACATCGTCCGGCGGGCGACTTGGCGGGCGCAGCTGCTCGTGGATCAGGAGCCGGTAGATCTTTACTGCAGTGTGAAGATCGCAGCATCCAAGCTAATCCAAGGACGTCTGGGCAGCCTTCCCGCGCCTCGGCGGCCGGCCGTCGGTCGCCGACGATGGCCGAGTCGGAGCGGCTCATGGAGGTCACCGATGACGACGAGCGGCCGGCGCGGCAAACCCCGAAAAAGAGCCGGTCCGTGGTCCTCGCGGCCGTCGCGGCGACGTGCCTCGTCGGCATCGCGTCCGTCGGCCTCGCCGCCCGCGGCCGGGCGCCGGAGGCGCTCGACGAGGAGGCGGGCCCGTCGGCGGCGCACGTGGCACGCTTCGCCGACGACGGCCGGCCCGACATCGTCCTCGTGTTCATGGACGACGTCGGACTGAACGACCTCTGGCGGTCGACGGACCTCCCGAAGCCGACGGAGATGTCGAAGCTCGTGCGCGACGGCGTCGAGCTGACGAGCTACTACGGCCAGTCGCTCTGCTCGCCGGCGCGGGCGACGCTCATGACGGGCAAGTTCGCCCACAAGATCGGCTTCAGCGACCAGCAGGGCGGCGTCCGCGAGGTCACGGCCTACTCGAACTTCTCCGTGCCCCTGGGCCACGACATGCTGCCCCAGGGCATGAAGCGCCTGGGCTACCAGACCCACGCCATCGGCAAGTGGAACATCGGCCACTGCAACGTCAAGTACATGCCGTGGCAGCGCGGCTTCGACACGTTCGTCGGCTACTTCACGGACGGCATCGGCTACACGGACCACGTCTCGGACACGGCGAACACCTACACCGTCAACGACGTCACGCGCCCCCCTCTACGACATGTTCCGCTACGAGGGCGGCCTCGCGTTCAACGGCTCCGAGTACGAGGGCACGTACACGACCGCGCTCTTCACGGAGCGCGCGGAGAAGGTGCTCCACGACGCCCCCGAGGACGCGCCCCTGTTCATGTGGCTCGCCTACCACGGCATGCACGACAACGACGGCGTCACGGACGCGGACACGTGCGCGCAGACGGGCGACGACGACGACGACGCGATCTTCATGGAGCGGGGCCACCTGCCCTTCGCGCGCTTCAACTTTGGCTGCGGGCTGCGCGCCATCGACCGGGGCGTGGGCCAGGTGCGGACGGCGCTCGACGACCGCGCGCGGGACTACGTGCTCGTCGTGACCTCGGACAACGGCGGCTTCGCGTGCGGCTACCACTGCCAGGGCTCCAACTACCCCTACCGGGGCGCCAAGTTCTACGAGTTCGAGGGCGGGTTGCGGCTGCCCGGCGTCGTCTACTCGCCGAGCCGCGTCCCCGCGCGGCGCCGCGGCGCGGCCTACGACGGTCTGATGCACCACGTGGACTGGTTCGGAACCTTCGTCCACCTCGGCGGCGGCGACGTCGCGGCGCTGACGACCTTCGACAGCTCCTTCGACACGATGAACCACTGGCCCCAGATCGCCGGGAGCGCCGGCGCCGGGTCCGCGGGGAGAGAGACCATCATCTTCGCGGCGTCCGACTCGACCGCGTCGATCCGCTCGGGCGCCTACAAGTACACGTACAACGCCGTGAACGTGACCTGGTTCATGCCGTCCTTCAACGGGACCATCGACTCGGACCCGGCCCGCTGCGACGGGTCGTCGCCGGCGACGCAGCTCTTCGACGTCAAGGAGGACCCGCGCGAGGAGATCGACCTCGCGACGGACCCGGACTACAAAACGGTCCTCGAGGACATGAACGCGCTCTGGGAGGACGCCCTCGGCCACTTCTGGGTGCCCACGTTCCCCTTCGCGAGCGACGACGCGCTCGAGGCGCCCCAGGTCGCGTTCCATCAGGCGGGCGGCTACGTGACCCACTGGGGGTGCACGCCTTCGGAGCGGGACGAGTGACCTATCTAAATAACATGTATGTTCCTACGCGGCGACAACGCCCTCGGAGCGGGACGAGTGACCTCTTTAACTTGTATGTTTTAACGCGGCGGCCAGCGGGGCGCGACTCCGCGCGGGTGCGTCCGACGGCGGCCGCGGCGCCGCGGAGCCGCGCGTGGACCGGTAGAACGCGACGCACGCGTAGGCGCCCGCGAGGAAGCCGAGCCCCGCGCAGTAGGCGACGTCCTCGGCGATCTTGTCGCGCGCGGAGATGGACCGGTAGATGATGCCGATGTCGCGGAGCACGTGCTTGCCGTCGCAGCCCGCCGCCGGGTCCCAGTCGTCGCCGCAGTAGCAGTAGTGGCTCGACGAGTAGTTGTCGCAGGCGTCGTAGCGCGCGCGGATGAAGTCGGACCAGATCATGGAGCGGATGGACCGCCCCATGGGGAAGACGTAGGCGAGCGCGCGCAGCGGCCACTTGACGTCCTCGATGGGGATGATGAAGCCCGCGTAGAGGAACGACGAGAACCAGGCGAACATGTAGAGCGCCGTGCCGAGGAGCGGGTGGTCGAAGGCCACGGCGCAGGCCGTCCCGTAGCAGTCCCAGCAGAACTGGCCCGCGCACCAGATGGCGCACGTCGTGAAGAACGCGCCGTCCTTGGCCGTGAAATTCGCGACGGCGAAGCCGGGGACGCCGAGCGCGACGAGGCAGAAGCCCGCGACGAGCGGGACCTGGAGGGCCGCGCGCGCGAGCAGGTACGCGGCCGGCGACACCATGCCGTTCCTCGCCTCGGACTTCACCATGCGCGTCTCCATGTTGATCGCGACGACGATGACCAGCGTCAGGCACGCGGGCACGGCGTTCATCCAGATGAGCAGCCAGACGCGGTTCGCGACCTGGGTCTGGTGCCGCTCGCGGGATTTTATGTAGACCGTCGCGAAATACAAATTTCCGAAGAAGAAGCACGTCGCGCGGACGCCCACGAGCACGAGGTCCCGCGCGAGGAGCGTCGCGTGCCGCCGCAGCAGCGGCACGACCTGGTTCCCCATCGTCGGCTCGATGACCACGGCCGTCTCCAGCCCCGCGTCGACGCCGCCAGAGTGGAAATGCGCGTCGTCGTCGACCGTCGCGCGCCGCCGCTCCCGCGCGGCGGCGTAGGCGTCCAGGATCTCGCGCACGACGCCCGCGTCGGAGAAGTCGCTGTTGACGACGTCGAGGAGGAAGTCCGCCGGGTTCGTGAGCGGCGGCAGGACGTGGCCGAGGCCCTCGAAGGCCGCCGCGGCCGAGGACGCGGCGCCGGAGTACGCGACGCGGCCCTCGGAGAGGAGCAATAGAGTGTCGAAATCCAAAAACACCTTCGTCGACGGCTGGTGGATCGTCGCCACGACGATGAGGTGCTCGTCCTTCGCGAGCGACCGCACAAAGGCCATGGTGTGGAGCGACGCGGCCGCGTCCAGGCCGCTCGTCGGCTCGTCCAAGAACGCGGCCACGGGCTGCTTCACGAGCGCCACGCCGATGGAGAGGCGCCGCTTCTGGCCGCCGCTGAGGCCCCCGGGGACTAAGGCGTGGCCCACGAAGGTGTCCGCGCACGACGCCAACCCCAGCCGGTCGATGATCTCCTCGGCCCTCCCGGGCTCGATGTCCGCGCCCGCGGCGGCGAAGAGCTGCGTCGCGTGGCGGAGCTGCTCCCGCGGCGTCAGCGTCGGCCACAGCTCGTCGTCCTGGTTCACCACAAAGCACAGGCGGCGGAACCGCCGCTGCGTCAGCGCGAGGCCGCCGAGGGTCACGCGGCCCGTCGCGCGGCCCCGCGGCGCGCGGAGCGTCAGGAGCGAGATCAGCGTCGTCTTGCCGGAGCCCGAGGGCCCCATGACGGCCGTCGTCGTCGCGCGGTCGCAGCGCGCGCCGACGTCGTCCAAGAGCCGCCGCTCCCGCCGCGTCCGCCGGTCCGCGACGGAGAACGTGAGCCGCGAGAACGCGAGCACGCGCGACGCGGAGCTCGCGAGGCGCTGCTGCGACGGGCGGCGCTTCGCCGGCGCCTTGGCGGCCTCCGCGCGCCGCCGGTCCTCGAAGCAGCAATCGATGTCCGTTGACTCGCGGCCCGCGATGCAGACGTCGTCGTCGAAGCCCGCGACGCAGGACAGCTCCGACAGCTCGTCGTCGCTCTGCGCGATGCAGGGCAGCCCGGCGAGGTCCATGGTTTTTTATGGGTCGCCTACGGCGAGCGCAAGTGCGCGGCGGGCCTCGCCGGCGACCTCGCGCGCGACTACGAGGCCGCGGCGCGCGCGTTCGCCCTGCGGGCAGCCCATCCCACGTCGATCATGTCAACGTGGAAGCACGTTCATCAAGTTGCCGTGCAAGCAGCTGAATCACACGGTCGCGTGTGCGTGTGCACAGAGCTCCTGACGCCTCGACGGCTCGAAGGATTCTCGTTCGGGCACGATGGACATGTTCGCGCTAGCGACCGAGGATGGACGACTTGACGAGCTACTCGAAGAGGAGCGAAAGGAGCATAACGGTCATCGCCTCAGTTTTGCGACGAGCGACGAGATCGCTTCGCCGTCCGCGCTCGCTTCGATGCCCGCGCCGAAGACCTGGAGCGCGCCGATGTCCTTGACGATGCCCGCGCCGAGGACCTGGAGCGCGCCGATGCCCTTGACGCCGCACGAGGGATCGCCCGACTTCCAGGGTGGCACGCCCGCGGACGAATTGTTCGCCGACGGTTCGCCCCCCGCCGGGGGCGACGGCGCGCCGCCGCCGGCGAAGAAGCACCGGCCCGAGCGCCACGGCAAGTGGACGCCCCCCGAGGAGGCCTACGCGTCGCTCGTCATCGACCACTTCATCAACGGCAAGGCGCCGGGCTGCGCGGGGGGCGAGTCGCTCCGCGCGCTCCTCGCGGGCCTCCTCCGGTGCACGCCGATGCGCATCACGAAGAAGTTCAGCCGGACGCGCGCGATGGGCAAAAACAAATCTTTCAGGAAGACGAGCGAGCTCACGGCGTACGAGCGCTTCGAGCTCGACGCGGCGCGGGCCACCTTCCTCAAGATGGGCGGCCGCAAGGAGAGCCGGAAGCGGCCGCGGTCCGACGCGGACGCCGCGCGGCACGACTGGCTCACATCCGGCTGGCAGTTCGAGGACCACTCGCTCCACGGCGGCGCCCCCGACCTGGGCCTCCAGTGGCGCCGCCGGGAGCAGGTCGCCGCGCCGCCGGCCGCGTCGGTCGCGCCCGCGGACGGCGAGGACGCGCCGTCGCAAGTCGTTGCGCCGCCGGCCGCGCCGGCCGCGCCCGCGGACGGCGAGGACGCGGACGCGCCGTCGCCGCCGCCCCCGCCGGTCGCGCCCGCGGACGGCGAGGACGCGCCGTCGCCGCCGCCCCCGCCGGCCGCGCCCGCGGACGGCGAGGACGCGCCGTCGCCGCCCCGGCCGGCCGCGCCCGCGGACGGCGAGGACGCGCCGTCGCCGCCGCCCCCGCCGGCCGCGCCGGTCGCGTCTTGGGGCGCCGAGCGTCTTCCCGGATGCACCGAGTGCTCGTTCGTGGAGACGCTCATCGCGGACGCGGAGCTCGGCCGCTTCGACCTCGTCCGCGTCGCCGTCGAGGACGCCGAAGGCGGCTGCTACCGCGGCGTGCTCCCCATGGCCGGCACGTTCACCGACGGCCGCGCGCTGCCCGTCAAGTCCGCGCGGACGCCGATCAAGACGCTGCGCGCGGCGCTCCTCCCCGGCTGGTACGTGCTCTACGGCAAGCACCCGGCGGCGCTCCGCGGCGTCGACCCCGAGGACGAGGCCGACGTCGGCGGCCTCGCCGCGTGCAAGTGGACGTCGGCGTCGGGGAATCAGGCCCGCGACGTCAAGATTTTGGGCGTCGAGAAGAGATACTTTGAGGCCGCGGCGTCGCACCTGGTCCGCGGCGGCTTTCGCGCGCGCGGCGCGGTCTTCGCCCGCGTCGAAGCCGAGGCGGCCCGCCTCTGGTGCGGCGGCGGCCCCATCGTCATGATCCTCGTCGTGAAGCATTCCGTAGATCAACGCCCCAGGAAGCACGACGCGCCCGAGCCGTCCGACGGCGGCGGCCTCGACGCGCCGGCCGCGACGCGCGCGCGCGTCGCGGAGGATCCGGGCGCGGCATAGCCGCCTCCGCCCCGGGCGCGCGTCGTTTTTTTTACCAGCTCTCTTCGTCGTGTTCCTGGTTCTATGCACGTGTGGCTGTCGCCTGGGGTCGTGCGTAGGCTTGGTGGGTTGCTCGGGGAGGACTACCTCGGGACCCTGCTAGTCCTAGGCTAGTCCTGCAGCCGCGGCACCGGCCCCGGCTCGAGGCTCGCCGAAGGTGTTTCGCCGCAGCAAAGCTCTTTCGAGGGTGAGAGAATCGCGTCCGCGCTAACGCGAGATGTCGAGCGGAGATCGGGTCGCGCGGCCAGAAGACGACGGGGCGTCGCTCCAAGCCCAGAACGTGGCGCTCCGGGCTCAGGTCGAGGAGCTCCAAGCCCAGGTCGCATCGCTGCAGCAGGAGAACGTCGAACTTCGGAGCGGTCCAGTGCCGCCGGCGGTAGCGCCCCCCCAGGGCGCGCGGGCACGACCCCGTGAGCCTCGGCGCGAGTTGGCGCACGAGCGAGGGCCTCGGCGAGAGACACCGTCCGCGACGTGGCAAGCCGTCGAACGCGGCGAACGGCTCACGACGAGCCAGGCATACGAGCTTTGTCCGTGCGTACCTGTAAGTCGCCTTCGCGCTCTGCCTTCTGTGGTCGCGCGACAGCCAAGGATTGGAAATAATCCCGCTCGCGACGTCAAGACGTACCTGCGCACGGATGTCGAGGCTATCGCAGCGGACCTCGTCATCTTGGCGAATCCGGAGACGTGGCAAGCTGTGGAACGCGGCGAACGGCTGACTAGAGCAAAGGCGCGCGAGCTCTATCCGAGCTTGCCCAAAGGGCGCTTTGAAACTTTGTCTTCTGTGGTCGTGCGACAGCCGACGATTGGAGGTTGCCATGCTCGCAACGTCAACACGTACCTGCGAACAGACGTCGAGGCCCTTGCGGCGGAGGCCGCGGCTGAAGAGACGGATCCGGCGTGGCAAGCCGTCGAACGCGGCGAACGGCTCACGGTGAGCAAGGCGCGCGAGCTCTATCCGAGCTTATCCCGAAGGCGCATTGAAGCTCTCCCTTCTGTGGTCGCGCGGCAGCCGACGATTGGAATTAATAACGCTCGAAACGTTCACACGTACCTGCGAACAGACGTCGAGGCCCTCGCCGCCGAATTCGCGGGCGGCAACGCGCCTCCCGCTCCGACTCCCGCTCCGAAACGCCCGCGAGTCGAAAAGGCTGCGCGGCCGCGGGTCGAGAAAACGCCGCCGCGCGTCGACCCGTGCCCCGTGTGTTTGGAGGATTTGGGCGACGGCGCGACGGCGCTCGACTGCGGCCACCGAATCCACGCGAGCTGCCTCGAGGAGTACAGCAAGAACGCCTGGGCCGACGGCACGGCCGCGACGCGGACGCGGCGCGGGACGCGGCTGACGTGTCCCTGCTGCCGCGCGCCGTCGCTCGTCGCGGACCCCGTCTTCCGCGTCGGCGACGAGGTCGAGGCCAAGTGGGGCGGCTCGTGGTGCCCCGGCGTCGTCGACGAGGTGCTCTCCGAGGGCGGCTACGAGGTCCTCTGGGACGACACGGGCCAGTGCAACCCGATCCCCGCGCGCGACGTCCGGGCCCGCGCGTAAGCTCGTTTTACCAGCTCCCTTCGTCGTGTTCCTGATTCGATGTACATGTGGCTGTCGCCTGGGGTCGGGCGTAGGCTTGGGGTGGCGAACTTAGACGCCATGAGTCTATGATGAGAGGCCTCGGAGCGCCGCAGTAGACTCTACTACAAGTAGCTTCTCGAGGCCTCGCGAGCGGGTCGCTTGAAATCGCCTCAGCACAGGCGCGGTGACCGCTCTCGGCTCGCGACGCCTACGAGCAGATGTCGAGCGCCGCCCAGGGCGCGCGGCCGGATGACGGTGGGACGTCGCTCGAAGTGCTCCAAGCCCAGAACGAGGCGCTCCGGGCTCAGGTCGCGGAGCTCCAAGCCCAAAACGTGACTCTCCAGCAAGCGCAGGTTGCGGCACTTCCGCAGGAGGTCGTCGAGCTCCGTCGGGGCTCAGAACCCTCGCGCGGCGTCGAGGTGCCACCGCCGCCGCCGATTGTGCCCCCCGGCCACTCCGTGCTCGAGGTGTCCCTCGCGCTCACGAACGGGTCGTACGGTATCCGCATCGGCCTCGACAGCGCCTCGCGCGTCGTCATCACAGACTTCACGGAACACGAAGTCATGGCCGCGGGCGCGCTCCGCGTTGGCGACGTGGTCCTCAGCGTACACGGCTTCGACGCGTCGCGCGCGTCCTTCGACGAGGTCGTCGAAAAGTTCGGCGACGCGAAGAGCGCGGACGCCATGGTCGTCCTCGGCGTAGCCCGTCCAGAGGAGGAGGCGCGTGCGATGTGGCGGCGCGTCGGCGCGCGGCTCGGCGATATTTTGGCGGCGAGATATATAGACCCTGCCCAGCTCGCGAGCCTCTGGACGCAGCTCGAGACCAATCTTGGCGTCGATCTCGACGGCGAAGATGTTCGATGGTTCAAGAACGAGGTGACACAAATTGTCGGGGCGCAGTCCACGGACGCCGGCGCCCTCGAAACTCCGGCGTTGCAACCAGCGGCCATGCCACCCATGTTAGAAGCGCAACCCGCACCTCCGGCAGCTGCGGCAGCATCGGCGCCCATCGATCCTCTTTGGGCTGCGGTGGAACGCGGCGAGCGATTGACGACGGCGAAGGTGCTCGAACTTTACCCTGGCGTTTCTGACCGCCAACTTGCCACGATTCCCCGCATGAAGGCGCGGCGCCCGAAAATTGGACCGGCTCAGCCTTCGGACGTCTGGACGTATTTGCCCTCGGACGTGATTGCGCTCGTGGCGCGACTCGCGGCTCCTGTGGCCGTCGATCCTCTTTGGGCTGCTGTTGAACGCGGCGAGCGGTTGACAGCGGCGAAGGTGCACGAGCTTTACCATGGAACATGTCGGGGCCTCGGCGACGGTCTTCTAACGATTCCGCGTGTGAAAGCGCAACAGCCGCTGCTTGGCGCGAGCAGTCCTCGAGAAGTTTGGACGTATTTGCCCTCGGATGTAACTGCGCTTGTCGCGCGACTCGCGGTTCCGGCTCCTGCGGCCGTCGATCCTCTTTGGGCTGCTGTTGAACGCGGAGAGCGGTTGACAGCGGCGAAGGTGCGCGAGCTTTACCCTGGTGTTTCTGACAAACAGCTCGCCACGATTCCTCGCGTGAAAGCGCAACGGCCGGAACTTGGCTTTAAAAGCAATCCTCGAGTGGTCTGGACGTATTTGCCCTCGGACGTGAGTGCGCTCGCCGCGCGACTAGCGGCTCCGGTGGCTGTCGATCCTCTTTGGGCTGCGGTGGAGCGCGGCGAGCGGTTGACGGCGGCGAAGGTGCTCGAGCTTTACCCTGGCGTTTTTGAACGCCAGCTTGCCACGATTCCTCGCATGACGGCGCGGCGCCCGAAAATTGGACTGGCTCAGCCTGTGGACGTCTGGACGTATTTGCCCTCGGACGTGACTGCGCTCATCGCGCGACTCGCGGCTCCGGCTCCTGCGGCCGTCGATCCTCTTTGGGCTGCTGTTGAACGCGGCGAACGGCTCACGAGGCAGAAGGCGCTCGAGCTTTATCCGAGCGTATCCGAAAGGCGCTTTCGCGCTCAGCCTTCTTTGGTCGCGCGGCAGCCGGCGGTTGGAATTAATGCAGCTCGAGACGTGCACACGTACCTTTTATCTGACGTCGAGGCCCTCGCAGCGCAAGTTGCCGCAGAATTGGCTGATCCGACGTGGCAAGCCGTCGAACGCGGCGAACGGCTCGCGACGAGCCAGGTATATGAGCTGTATCCGTGCGTATCTGAACGCCGTCTTCGCGCGCTGCCTTCTGTGGTCGCGCGACGCCCGACGATTGGAAAAGTTAGCGCTCAAAACGTCTACACGTACCTACGAACAGACGTCGAGGCCCTTGCCTCGAAGATCGCGGCAGAATTGGCGGGCAAGCCGTCGAACGCGGCGAACGGCTCACGAAGAGCAAGGTGCACGAGCTCTATCCGAGCATCAGTCGAACGAGCCTTGAAGCTCTCACATGTGTGGTTGCGCGACAGCCGACGGTTGGAACGAATAGCGCTCGAAACGTCAAAACGTACCTTCGAACAGACGTCGAGGCCCTCGCGGCCACCATCGCGGGCGACAATGTGCCTCCCGCTCCGAAGCGCCCGCGCGTCGAAAAGGCCGCGCCGCCGCGCGTCGAGAAAGCGCCGCCGCGCGTCGACCCGTGCCCCGTGTGTTTGGAGGATTTGGGCGACGACGCGACGGCGCTCGACTGCGGCCACCGGATCCACGTGAGCTGCCTCGAGGAGTACAGCAAGAACGCCTGGGCCGACGGCACGGCCGCGACGCGGACTCGGCGCGGGACGCGGCTGACCTGCCCCTGCTGCCGCGCGCCGTCGCTCGTCGCGGACCCCGTCTTCCGCGTCGGCGACGAGGTCGAGGCCAAGTGGGGCGGCGCGTGGCACCCGGGCGTCGTCGACGAGGTGCTCTCCGAGGAGGGCAGCTACGAGGTCCTCTGGGACGACACGGGCCAGTGCAACCCGATCCCCGCGCGCGACGTCCAGGCGCGCGCCACGTAATGCCATTATGACGCCGCCCCCTGCCGCACGTCCCAGTGCTCCCAAAGCTTGTCGGGCTTGCGCAGGTTCGGCGTCGACTTCGACGCGCCGCCGAACTTGACCACGGGCTGCTTGTAGAGCGCGTTCGTGATGGGGCCGACGGGCGGCGGCACCGACGGCGTCGCGACGCCGGCGCAGGGCGTCCGCGCGCGCCAGCCCTTCGTCCCCGCGTTGAGCTTGGGCGCGCCGAGGCGCTTCTTCTTCCGGCGCTTCTTCGCGGCGGCGGGCGCGTCGTCCGTCTCTGGACGGGGCGGCGCGGGCTCGTCGTCGTCCAGGGGCGCCACCTCGACGGCGGGCGGCGCGGCGGCGGCGGCGATGGCGGGCACGGTGAGCGGCGACGCGAGCGGCGACGCGAGCGACGTCACGTCCGGCGCCGTGGCCTCGGAGGGGAGGTCCGGCGACGCGGCGCGCCTCGGCGGCTCGGCGAGTTTCGACGGCGGCTCCGCGAGCGGCTCCGCGGGCTTCCCGATCGACTCCGCGGGCGGCATCTTCGTTCGGGGCCGCCGCGCGGGCTCGTCGGAGCCGACGGTCTCCGACAGGATCTCCGACGCCTCCCACTGCGACGACACCGTCGTTTCGTCCGCGCGCGCCTGGCGCGGGCTCTCGACGGGCGCCGTCGCCTCCGTGGCCTCCGTGGCCTCCGTGGCCTCGGACGCGTCGTCGGACCGCGACGAGCTCGCGCCCCGCGAGTCCTCCGCGATGGGCGGCGGCGCCTTCGGGACCTCGGCGGCTCGCGTCCGGAGCGTCGGTTTCCGCGTCGTCCGGCGAACGCGCGGCGCGGCGCCCGCGTGGGCCGCGGCGGCGACGGTCCACTCCGCGTGGGGCGGCGGCGCCTTCGTCCGCAGCGCGCCGGCGGACGACGGCCGCGGCGGCAGCGTCGGGCGGCCCTGCTGCTTGCCGGCGACGGAGCGCCGCGCGGCCGCGGACGACGGCCGCGGCGCGCGCTTCGCCGCGGGCGGCGGCTTCTCCTCGGCGGCGACCTCCTTGGCGGCGGCCGTGTTTATCCTTGGCGTCGGCCGGCGGTTCCCTTCGACGTCGGCGGGCGCTTCCGCGGCGACGTCCTCCGCGGCGACGTCGTCCGCGGCGACGTCCTCCTCGCCGCCCTCGGGCAGCGTCGCCATGGTCTCCCCGGACCCGCCGGACGCGCCGCCCGGCCAGTCGCCCGAGCCCGCGGACGACGACCGCCGCAGGGGCTTGGGCGGCTCGAGCTCCGCCAAGACGCGCGGCGTGTAGTGCGTGTCGTGCAAAGGCACGGTGATCTTGGGCTCGTAGCGCCGCGGCAGGAGCTCCGGCGCGTCCGGCGCCGGCAGCAGGTGCACGACGTCCGTGTCGCGGCCGTCCACCGTCGAGTCCGAGGCCCAGTCGTTGATCTTCGGCCGGTCGTCCATGGAGAAGTCGCGGTACTTGCGCGTCTCTTTGTAGTCGTAGCCGCCGTCGTCGCGCCGCTCGAGGACGACCTGCTTCGGCCGGTTGCGCCGCCGCAGGGCGAGCTTGTCCGTGTGGCGCTTGGACCGCGCGACGTTCGCGGCGAGGCGCGCCTCCGCGTTCTCGTCGGCGACGTCGGGCGCGTCCAAGCGCGTCACGCGGCGGAGCGCGGACGCGAGCTCCCGCCGCCGCTGGAGCGCCGCGGAGACGGCGTCGACCAGGGGCTTCGTGCGGGGCGTCTTCGGGTCCCGCGCGGGGTCCTCGCGGTACTCGGCCTCGATGTCCGTGTACTCGAGGATGCCCGCGGGGAACCACGGCCGCTGCGGGCTCGCGAGCTCCGGCGCGTCGCCGAGGGCCGCCAGCGCGAAGGCCGGCAGGTTGCGCCGCTCCACCTTCAACAAGTAGGGCTTCTCGTTGATGTATTTTCTACGTAAATCCGTGTAGCGCGTCGCTAAACGCCGCTGCCGGTGCAGGAGGTGCTCCGCCTGCAACAACGCCGCGACGTCCTGCTGGCCCTGGATCTCGTGCTCCGGCTGTTTTTTGGTTTCCTTGTTGC